GTGTGTGTGTGTGTGTGTGTGTGTGTGTGTGTGTGTGTGTGTGTGTGTGTGTGTGTGTGTGTGTGTGTGTGTGTGTCGGGTGAGGTGACTGGGGTGTGTACTCACCTAGTTGTGCTTGCGGGGGTTGAGCTCTGGCTCATTGGTCCCGCCTCTCAACTATCAATCAATGTGTGTCGGTGGTGGTGGTGGTAAGCCCCTCCAAAGGATACCTTATCAACCAGGCTGTGATTCGTACGTCAGGCTGCGAGCAGCCGCGTCCAACAGCCTGGTTGACCAGTCCAGCAACCAGGAGGCCTGGTCGACGACCGGTGCGCGGGGAAGCTAAGCCCCGTAAGCACCTCAAGGTAACCACAAGGTAAGGTGTGGTGGCGGCTGGGATGTGGTGGCTGGGATGTGGTGGCTGGGATAGGGTGGCTGGGATAGGGTGGCTGGGATGTGGTGGCTGGGATGGGGTGGCTGGGATGTGGTGGCTGGGATGGGGTGGCTGGGATGGGGTGGCTGGGATGGGGTGGCTGGGATGGGGTGGCTGGGATGGGGTGGCTGGGATGGGGTGGCTGGGATGGGGTGGCTGGGATGGGGTGGCTGGGATGGGGTGGCTGGGATGGGGTGGCTGGGATGGGGTGGCTGGGATGGGGTGGCTGGGATGTGGTGGCTGGGATGGGGTGGCTGGGATGTGGTGGCTGGGATGGGGTGGCTGGGATGTGGTGGCTGGGATGTGGTGAGAGTGGCTAGGAGAGGAGTGTGAGGCTAGGAGGGATAGATGGGGGGAAGGCGGCGCAGGGAGACCACAGCCTGGAGGTTCCTAGGGAAGGTCAAGGCTCTCCCAGGCCGCTTCCCTCACTCTCAGCCTCATTATCCAGGGTTATATATAATCCCGGGTTATTTATATACTTAACCTTTTACCGCAACTGTCGCCCCTGCTGCCACATCAGGGAAGGCCACGCTCCAGCATTATATTCAACAGGTCAAACCCAAGATACTGCCCGATTCCGTTCGAACCAATGTCTAACTTTAAGGGACGAAAGTCGGGACGCTATCATTTTTTTTTTTTTTTTTTTTTTTGAGATATATACAAGAGTTGTTACATTCTTGTACAGCCACTAGTACGCGTAGCGTTTCGGGCAAGTCCTTAATCCTATGGTCCCTGGAATACGATCCCCTGCCGCGAAGAATCGTTTTTTCATCCAAGTACACATTTTACTGTTGCGTTAAACAGAGGCTACAGTTAAGGAATTGCGCCCAGTAAATCCTCCCCGGCCAGGATACGAACCCATGACATAGCGCTCGCGGAACGCCAGGCGAGTGTCTTACCACTACACCACGGAGACTGCCATCAGTCAGATGGTAAGACACTGGAAAGCAGCAGCGTGAGGGAGCTGATAACCTAGGAGCAGTTATGTCATCTTCATGTGCACACAAGGAGCACATACACACACTTAAGCAATACGGCAAAGCCTCTCGCCACTCTTCCCCGCCCTAGGCCTCCACTCGTGTCACAGCCTACACCCTAGATGGGTACATCCTCACGGGGGTCACTCGCTATAAACAACCACACACACTCAAGGGCCATACACCCTCAAGTGTTACACACCCTGCAGGGCTAGCTAGAACCTTCGGCACTCAAGGTTCACATAATGTTGAAGAGTATGTGAAGGAGTGTGTGGGGCTCTTGAGGGCAAGTACCACAATATCTTCCAGGGCTACTAACCTTAATGCCCCCCCCCCCCACACACGTCCTAAGGAACCACACAGTCTAAAAGGCCAGTATGCCACAAACCTTTTAGAAGCCAGTTTATCGAAGAAAACCCAACATTGTTCACTATTGCCTCTAAGGAAGAAAGGGCCACACTCTACCGAGACCTGGAAGGCCACAGACTCTTTAAAGGCCATGAGCTACATGTGCTCTAAGGCCAGTAGGCCACACCACCGTACAAGGCCCGTCAGTGTGACCTCACACTTTCCCTTATAAACAAGTCCGCATCAATATTGTGTGTGAACAAATAGCGCGAGCGACCACGCGGCAAGTGGTGCCCTGGCCGGCTCTTGAATGTCTCTTATGTACCTGGATTGTACCTGGATGAGGTTCGGGAGTTTTACTCCCCAAGCCCAGCTCTGGGCCAGGCTTGACTTGTGAGACTTGGTTCAACAGGTTCCTGGTTCAACTGCTTGGAGCAGCCCGCAGACCCACATATCCGCTACAGCCCGGTTGGTCCGGCACTTCTTGCAGAAAACTGTCCACTTTTTTCTCGAAGACTTCCAGTTTTGTTCCGGCAATATTTCTTATGCTGGCTGGGAGGATGTTGAACAACCGTGGACCTCTGATGTTCATACAGTGTTCTGTGGTTGTGCCTATGGCACCTCCACTCTTCACTGGCTTTATTCTGCATTTCCTTCCATATTGTTCACTCCAGTATGTTAGCTCTTATCTACCACAACCATTCCTGGATAAATAAACGATGGGCTGGTATAGATATCATGACTGACTGGCTATAGATATAGGTGACTGGCTGGTATGCTGTCACCCAGACGAGCACGAGAGTTGAGTTTTAGCTCTCCAGCCCCTGGCTTTCAGCTTGCAGGGTTCCGAAACTTTTACGATCCTGTCACGTCTATATTCGTAGCTGACTGTGTATGTGTCTCCACCACGCCACCATACTGCACTACATTTCTTCACTATGACAATTAACAAATTATATCATTCTCATCGTAACTCATTCCGGTACTTAAGTCACCACCTGTGTCCTCTTTCTGCCCTGTTGATACCTCAATAGATAGATGCATTTAATATTTCTGTCTGCAGAATCCAGCTATGAACGCTTGGACCCCGCCTTTCTAACCAATCTATTTTTCCTCGATTATATCTACTACATATTATTATATCTACTACACACGCGCACCCCCCCCTCTCCCCCCAGGAAGCAGCCCGTAGCAGCTGTCTAACTCCCAGGTACCTATTTACTGCTAGGTAACAGTCTAATTTTAATAAACAGACTGTAAACAGTCTGTTTATTAAATTTAATTGAATTAGTATTGATGAGAGCCGAGATGGGAGAGGCAGGTGCAGCAGATGCCTGCGGACACAGCACTAAACACGAGGGCGCGACACATCCCAGCTTCACGTTTAATACGACCATCTATAACTACTCCACTTGTGGCAGGGAGACCAACCAGGTCTCATTATCATATACTAACTTACTCCAATAAACATTTTCAAGGAATTCAAAGAGGAAGATTCTGAGATAATGATCACGATAATGAACATTTATGTACTGCATGAATGGTTCTAAACTATACATTTCCAATTGGACTAATATTTCATGATAAAAATTTAAAAAATCATAACTGGGAAAATCCGGTAAGGCAATTATTCCTAATCATTTATGTCTCAATCTCCCTATTCCTGCCAGCTTCTCCCCCCCCCCCTGTATAATCCCTACCTGTTGAGAACCTGTTATTGGTTCCGGGAATCAACGTCCCCCGTCTCTGACCAGGCCTCCTGGTTAGTGTCTGATCAACCAGGCTGTTGGACAAAGTTACTCTCAGATGCGCCCAACAAAAACAGATGGAGATTGTTGACAGTAGACATTGTTGCAAAACATATGTGCATTCATGTACCATAGGACCCGAATTGTTGCTATGGGTTAAACCTGCATGTACATGATCTTCTTCTTGAGGTTATCTTGAGATGATTTCGAGGCTTTTTAGTGTCCCCGCGGCCCGGTCTTCGACCAGGCCTCCACCCCCAGGAAGCAGCCCGTGACAGCTGACTAACACCCAGGTACCTATTTTACTGCTAGGTAACAGGGGCATAGGGTGAAAGAAACTCTGCCCATTGTTTCTCGCCTGGCGCCTGGGATCGAACCCGGGACCATAGGATCACAAGTCCAGCGTGCTGTCCGCTCGGCCGACCGGCTCTCCCAGTTGGGAATCACTGTGTTAAAGTATCATTTGTAACCGCGCCTCTGTGGTTATCTCCTGGCCTCACGCCATATTGTGCAATGTGTTTGTGCACAAACATATTTTTTTCGATAAAAATCATTCAAGGTCTCTTAAAGGAAGACCATTAAAATGGTGCCAGAAATCTGCCACCTTGAGGCTTTTCCCTGCATACTTCAAGGAAGTATGCACGAAAGTATGCAAGGAGCATTGAAAGTCTTTCAATGTTTTCAAGCAGAATCGCAAAGACGTTCTACAGATATCAAACGGATACAGCAGTTTGCTGCACAGTACAAGACACCTGAACTTGTCCTCCTGTAAGCGTGCTCTGTACTCACCTAGTTGTGTTTGCGGGGGTTGAGTTCTGGCTCTTTGGTCCCGCCTCTCAACCGTCAATCAACTGATGTACAGATTCCTGAGCCTACTGGGCTCTGTCATAACAGGAGATATTAGTAGTGCTCGGTTGGCAGTACTGTTGGTCTTGAAAATCCCGACTCAAACAAGTAGATTGTGACAAATGGCAAGTTGTACATAGAGAAAATGCATTAAAATATTAGTTTTCATGTCGTCGCGGACCCTTCACCCCCCCCCCCCCCCCCTCTCTGAAGCGCACTCGCAGGCCCTAGTTTGGAGAGGCATGCTGCTGTACGGCATTATATGAGACACCAGTTAGGCAGCTTCTGGGAAGGAGGACGGGGGAGGTGATCCTTGTGTGCGGCCCCACCCGCGACGTCACTCAGGTATGAGGTCACTACGTCACGGCTCCTGTTGGCGCTCTTGCTGGCGCCCCAGCCACTTTCCCCCAGTCGGTCCCGTCTTTATCACTCGCTCAAAATTATTTTGACATCACGTGCCTAATCGCAATGAGACAAAATAAAACGATGAACGTGATGAGAATTTCCTAAACGCCTTTACAAGTTCTACAAATAATCTTGCTTAACTAATACAAATTTACAACAGAGTCCACACCACAAGTTCAGTGTGTTGTACCGAGACATAGGCACAGCGTGTCAAACAATTCTGGTAAAAAACAAGACATGTTACATTAGTAGAATGACTAATACCGTCTAAATGTGCGCCAGAGACGACCATCGGAGTTTGGAGAGTTTGCCGATAACGTCATCATGGGGAGTGGTTGTGGAACTTTAGTGAGGGGGTGATAGGTAGGCGAGGGTGTCATCCACGAGGTGGTGGAGGACGGGCAGGGCGACGGACGGGCTGGGACACAGCTACAACACACGTCCCAAGCAGACGGTGCTCCACCCTCTTCCCTCCTGCTGCTGCTGCTGGTGTAGAGGGTGACAGTGTGCTGGGGACCGTCCTCACTGTCAGAGGAGGGAGCTGTGCCCATCATTACCACTCCGACACCACCACCATGTACACGGCGCCCACATCAGACGCCACAGCAGCAGTCACCTGCACACCTCCACGACACACATCACACTCTTCACCCTCCGCCACCAGCTCCACCGCCCGCAGTCTCCCACCCGCCAGAATAATTCTTCAGGACGTAAACAACTTTTGGTCAAGATTTTGAGCGTGTAAACTCCATTCATCTTCGAGGCGTCCAGTGCGGGTTGGTGCACGAGGATAAGGCATGTGCTACAAGCCCCCGCTCCCGCCACTAACCATGTCCTGCGCTTCTCACACTTCTCTTGGAAAATGTTACATAACACTAACTTTCTGTTGTCACCTGCAAGTGGTTCAAAGTTATTCACAACATAACGTTAAGCTTATTGGGTAATGTGGGAAGTGTGAGGTCTCAATAAGCTCACTAACACCTTCCAAAATATACGGTACATACTCGAATTTTGAAGTCACTGTAAAGACGACTCAGCTCTGATACCCAGGTCTGAACAGGTTTACACTTCACACAACTCCATGTGACATAAGTCTTTATGTTCACTGTAACACTACGCACTTCCAGCATGCCCTAGCTACTGCTTTTATACACTGTACATCATGATCTTTCAAGAGTCAACTTATCCGGAGACAAGAGAGGTGCTTTAAGGGGGAAGGACACAGGTGTGTCCCCGAGACGCTGGGATCCTGAGACAAGGATCAACAGGTGTGGAGAGCACGTTGGAGCGCGACGGCCACTGAGTCAGGTACTGGTGGCGGGGCTGCTTAGCCGTGACAGCTGTACCCACCACCACTACCACCACCACTACCACCACCACCACGACCTTCTCCACCGTTACTGCTGCTGCTGCTGCTCCTGCTGCCGATGTTCCTGCTGCTTGACGCCGCCGCTGCCACCCGCCAAACAGTCACTTGATATCACTAGCCAGCGGCGCCAGTTCTCCACGTACGTCAGTGGGTACTCGTGACACAATGTACCAATAACCTATATCAGTCTCAGAAGAGGCGACACTCATTTCCTTTTTCAGAAATAGCGTAAAATACTCAGTGATAAGGGGGAGGAAGATAAGGTGGCAGCGATGGTGGGAGAGAGGCCAGCAGGCAGGTGGAGGCGGGCGGGAGCAGGAACCGCACCACAGATCGTCCAAACACTAATGTGGCGGCAGAGGCTACATTTACCACCGCCAAGACTGGCAAAAGTGTGTACACTGACCAACAACTGCGCATCGTCCCCCTTGCAGTCTGCTGGCCCACACACACACACACACACACACACACACACACACACACACACACACACTGTTGAATTAATGACTGGCACATACAGCAAGCCACACCAAGGTTTCCTAAGCTATATTCCTATATAAACGACACAGCACATGAAACCTGGAGAATTATCTACCTTGACCAACATGTGGTGAAGATATACGAGCCGAGAACATTTAGGGCCGGCTGTGAGCTGAAGTCATTAATATGTATTGGCAGCGAGAGGTGGAGAGGCGTGGTGGCAGCCCGGGCCTCACGCCCATCACAGCCACCACCGGCCTGTATCACACCTACATTTCTCTTCTGGTCCGACACAACAACGCCGCTCATGAAAGCCAGCATAAATAAAGCTGGGTTGGGAAATGAATGAGTTGGCGAGGCAGGGTGTGGGTGTCCAGGGTCAGGAACTGCTGGCAGGAGCTCGCCCACATGGGTAAAGGACGCGGGTCAAGCAACACCCAACAGTCTTCCGGCTGACCTGCAACACGGACTCTTCGTCCACCAGTCTCCCACCACCAGCAGTAACACCACCACCACCACCATAGTTCTCACCACCACCACCGTTCTCACCATCCTATATACCAGCGCGCACTTTCCACCAGCACCGCCGCCTGCCATCACATCTCTAACACTCCATCACCACCACAATAATTGCTCTGCGTGCAGCCTCAAACACACTCTTCACCTCAGATGTTCGTGACGACTCGTAAGGTGTCAGTAACAGTTATTGTCCACAGCAGGTTCATTCTCCATGATCACTACTATTCCCATCTACACAAAAGACCTAACTGGCCACTTAGTTAGTTTAGTCAGTTATTATGCACCCTATACCCATCCCGTGGGCGGTGTTAGACACACTTAATGGGCTCGGGAACTGGACCCCCCCCCTACAGTTCATTAAACCTAGAAAGTAACATTTTTGTAAAGCTAGTTACACTTTCTTTTACATAGACAAATTAACATATATCAATCTTGAGTCACACAGTTACTAGTCTTGCTCCACACCCACTCAACTGGGCGGCAGCTTTACAGTCATGTGCAGGCTGCACCTACAATAAGCAAACTGTGGATACTTGGCTAAGATTTCTTGTAGTACATCATTATGAATGAAGTACTTACACATTTCTGAAACACCAGTGATGGAGTTATCTCAGGATTCCGCGATTTTTTCGCATTCAATTATATAATGACGCAAAGTATCTTAATAGCTCTGCTGACATTTAGTCAACTCTACAATATGGTACAAACTCCCAGAGGTACTTGTAGCCGAGCCTAAGCCTAGCAGTGGTAACATCTAGAAGTCTACTAACCTTATTGGATGACCCATAGACGTGCGGTACATCCTGCATAATAGAATGATGATAGATGGAGGAACTGGTATGAATTTCATTTTGCCTTAAGTCTATTAGATTTTGTTGCTGTTCCCGGAATATTGTTGTTCCAGGCTGCTTAAAAGGAAGTCCAAGATGGTAATCAGTTTCCTATTTACGAGCAAAAATGTTTTGGCTAACTCATAAGTTCTCATGTATCCGGGGACCAATGTGAGTAGGAATCCACAGGAGAGAAAAACTGACTCCACCATTGATAATTTCATTTTATTGTCTAGCTTCAGACCCAAGGACAGTTATGTCTTGGGAGCTGAGTGCAGCCAAGGATGACAAGGAGTCACAATTAACGTGTCGACTTTGGACTTTTATACCAGCTCAAGTGCAAGAATTATGGCAAACAGTTCTGTTTGAAAAGTGGAAGTCCAGTTATTTGTACGCGCTCCACTTTCATAGGAGTAGGAACCATCTACCTTCACAACTACAGCTGCACCAAAGGACTGGGGCAAGGAGTCATCAATGTAAATAACTTGGGACACACTAAAGTTACGATTCTTCGCGGCAGGGATCGTATTCCAGGGACCTGCCTGAAACGCCACGCGTACTAGTGGCTGTACAAGAATGTAACAACTCTTGTTTATATATCTAAAAAAAAAATCTAAAAAATTCAACACCCCGGCAACTTTCCCTCGCAGACCACCTACCATAAATACTATTCCCCCTACACCAAAATCTGTGCTTCCCAACCCTCTCCGTGCAGCTGCTGCTCCCTCCAACACCGTCCTACCAGGTACACCATGCTAGAGATTAATAGCAACAGCCGCATGAAATGGAAGAGAGCAGAGGTACCTGCTTGATGGGGTTCTGGGTGTTCTTCTACCCAAATGTGGCAGGACGCTGACTTACCAGACCCGCCCAGGTACCCGCCCAAGTACCCGCCCAGGTACCCGCCCAAGTACCCGCCCAGGTACCGCCCAGGTACCCGCCCAGGTACCCGCCCAGGTACCCGCCTACCCACCGCTCGCAGGTGTGGCAATAAAATACCATGTACGAAAGCACTCCAGCAAATATTTTGTTTATAAATTATCTGAGGTTCTTTGGATTTATGATGCAACTAATTAAGAGTTAATTCAAGAATACTGTATATACTTTCGTATGTGTTTACTTCTTTATCAATATATATTCATTCAGCATATTATACGCAATATATAAATATATATAATAAATTGTCATCTACACTTCCGTGGATATAAACATTCCTTTCACCTGAGCTCTAGGAGACTCGAACCCTGAGCCCCACGTGTGAGAGACAGAGGAGAGCCTCTGCCTCCAACAGAAGAGGGAGAAGAATTAGTGATCCATCGTGATCCGCGTCATATAAATAAGTTTACATGACGCGGGCGTGGATCACAAATTCCTCTGAGCTTCAGAAGTAGTCAGGGCAAGTTGAACAATTCCAGCACAGCAGCAGTAGTTGCTTCTGGAATCTTTCCTTATTAAGGCTACTCATAGCTGAGTGGATAGAGCTGCCTCACACACGTTGGGTCCAGGGTTCGAGTCTCCTAGAGCCGCAGGTGAATGAAATATATATAATTATATATATAATATATACCAATTTATTTTAAATGACCTTAGAACAGTAGTTATAATGTAATGTTTTATAGGATATGACAGTTGTTGGCGGGACCCAAGAGCTAAAAGCCCGATTCTGCAGGCACAGAGTAAATACAAGTAGTGAACACATGCCTCAACTGCCAGCAGGTGGGAGCCACACTTGGCCACCTTACTGCTGCATGTGGGCGGGCAAAGTGCCGCCAAGCAGGAACATTGTGGTCTTAATAATAGAGGGAAGGATACAGTGGCCGCCAGCGTGGAGTGCTGGAGGAGGAGGAGTGAGGCGGGAGTTTATTGTGCACCCCATACTCATACTGTGAGCGGTAGCGCAAGAGGGATTACAGAGGGCACAACAGGTCTTTATCAGACCCCAAAGGAGGTTATTACATTAACAATTACATCTATCCTGTACACCTTATTATACTGTCAGATAGTTACAGAAATTGTTCTATTTCAATAGCTAAGCATTTCCCGTCCGTCCGTCCGTGTGTGTGTGTGTGTGTGTGTGTGTGTGTGTGTGTGTGTGTGTGTGTGTGTGTGTGTGTGTGTGTGTGTGTGTGTGTATACAGTACATATAATATATATATATATATATATATATATATAATGCGTTATATAGAGGTGGTATATATATATATATATATATATATATATATATATATATATATATATATATATATATATATGTCGTACCTAGTAGCCAGAATGCACTTCTCAGCCTACTATGCAAGGCCCGATTTGCCTAATAAGCCAAGTTTTCCAGAATTAATATATTTTCTCAAATTTTTTTCTTATGAAATGATAAAGCTACCCATTTCATTATGTATGAGGTCAATTTTTTTTATTGGAGTTAAAATTAACGTAGATATATGACCGAACCTAACCAACCCTACCTAACCTAACCTAACCTATCCTTATAGGTTAGGTTAGGTAGCCTAAAAAGTTAGGTTAGGTAGTTGTTAAAAACAATTAATTCATGAAAACTTGGCTTATTAGGCAAATCGGGCCTTGAATAGTAGGCTGAGAAGTGAGTTCTGGCTACTAGGTACGACATATATATATATATATATATATATATATGCGAACAAGCCTGAATGGTCCCCAGGACTATAAACATTCTGGGGTGTGAGTTTTCCTCTAATGCGTTATGCGTGGATTTCCTCCGAGGCTATGGGTCCCCCTTCTTCCAGCTAGAGGTGGTACTAACCTAACCTTTTATAGGTAAGGTTAGGTTAGGTATATATATATATATATATATATATATTAGGCAAATGAATATATAGTGCGTTCTATATATTATATATATATATATATATATATATATATATATATATATATATATATATATATATATATATATATATACTTGTCATATATGCAAGGCCCGATTTGCCTAATATATAATGGTTTATATATATATAATAACTTTTTTTACCTATAATAACCTATATATATATAGGTAGGATATATATACACATATACACACATTATGAAATGGGTAGCATCACATAAGAAAAAAATTTGAGAAAATATATTATTTCAGGAAAACTTGTCTTATTACACACAGTGCGTTCTGGCTACTAGGTACACACACACACACACACACACACACACACACAC